GAGAAAGAAAAAGTAATGGCGTATTTTAGTTATGGTGTAGACAAAGCAAAAAGGAATGTGGAATCTTAACATTCAGATCCTCTTTCACAAGAGCCTTTAAATGAGATTTTTTCATAACCTTAATTTTACTGAAGTTCAATTCTACTTGTCATGTCCTGAAAATATTTTTCTATAACTTTGACAACAATTATGCAATTTGTTGTGAAAATGCCTAACAACATACTGTGCTTTTGGGAGTGAAAATGTGGCAACAACAAAATTCAGTTTCCTGAGGCATAGTTTCTGAACAACAAAAAAGGTCAGTGAGGTTGAACAAAACCCAGTGGAGTTGGGTCTGTCTGTTTCAGAAAACTGCATTTTCCACTTTTGGGGGAATGTGGTAAAATTTGTAGAGGAAATTAATATCTCCTATTAGGGGAATAGATGTTGTTTGGGCAGGGAAAAATGTCCTGAGTTCTCCTAACACAAGCTCTTTATCCTTGTGTGGCCAGAAAAATTCGATCTAATGAAAGATGCTGTTTTCTCTGCAGATATTTCTTTTTGTAGATCGTTAGCACATCCCTCCTGTAGCACTGACAAATATGGTTGACTGTCAACAAATGATGTGTGTGAGAGTTTTATGGGATTTTTTTTTTTTTTAGAAATCAATTTTAATAAGTTCTGCACAGGGTTTTTGAAGTTTATACACTTTTACTTATGCATTCTTTATTTCTTGCTTTGGTTTCCAGTCCTATTTCCTCTTCCCATCAGTTCACACAGGGAAAAGCATGGACTCCAACAGCCTAATTGACTTCAGTAGTTGAAAGGTGGTTCTCCCAGCAAGGACTACTTAGAATCTCACTCTCTTCTGAGCCCTGTGGGTGCTACAGTAATACTTGCCTTATGAAAGGTTTTGATATTTTAAAAACAAACAAACAAAAAAACATGCTCTGCTTTTACTTTTGTAGAGATCCAGATTTTCAAGAGCAGTCTCAGTAGGTGTGCGCAGGTAAAATTTCAAACCAGATACATTCTTTGTGTTTCCTAGTCTTTCCCATCATATTTAGAAGGGAAAGGAGGGCTTAAAAGTATTCAGCTTCTGCCTGAAATGGTGAAGCTGTGTTTCATTATGCGTCTAAATTTTAGTATGAATGAAATAATCAGTGTTAATATGTACATTTAGTGAGCCTGTTTGACAGTTTCTGCTAAAAGTATTACTTAAAATTAATGCTTTTTGTTGTTCAAATATTTCAGCATTCAGGTAGAGGAATTGACGTGAGGAGAAGAAAAATATGGGACATGTACGGACCAGAAACTCATTTAGAGGTATTGTGCAAAAGTATGTCAATCTTACTGATTTGTAACTTTATTTGTTCATTGCTTCATTTGTGCAAATGTACTCAAGCATACCGAGTTACAGACAGTTGTCCAGAGTGATCTGTGGGTTTGGTGTGACGCCACCCATACATCTTGTGGGACTATAAAGTAAGTTGTAAAGGGGATTATGAGAATAATGCTGTATCATACCCTTGCATGTTTGCAAATTACTTATTTTTCAGCTGAGAAGATTAGTGTGATTTCCTACTGCATGTACAGACACGCACACCGTGAAACAATCTTTGATTTTACTGGAGGATCAGTATTAGGCAGCTTTGTTTGCACCACTGTACCTCATAAAAGATATTAGTATCCAAAGTTGTTAGTTTATTCTTGAAAGTGATTCTGACCTAGTGCTGTGTGCTGTTTTGGGGGACAAAATGGTTGAACCTCAAAGCAGCCAATCTTCTGCTATACTGACCTTGTGGTAAGTAATTGCAATAATAGCCTTTAAAAAATGAGTAGGAAAATGAGTCTGAAAGAGGGATTATATTTCAGGTTCCACATTAGCTTTTTTATGGGAACAGGAACAGGTCAAACACATGAAGATTCACTTTAACTCCATCTGTTTTTAGTCTGATACCGATTAAAGTGTGGTCATGATGAACAGTTGCCCATTGGAGGTGAGGTCTTCCTGGTTTCTCGTTCTATAGGGTCCTAAAATTTCTCACTCTGTTCTCTCAAAAATTGCCTGCTTCCAATATATTAAATGAATTTTCCGCCTATAGTTATTCTCTAACAGTTTTGTTTAGACGTGAATTCAGCATATGCTGACAATCTACATTAAATCAACAGAAGAGCAGCAGTTTTCACAGGTGGGAGGTGGAGCGTTCACAGTCTTGTGCAGCCTTCTCTTTGCCACCCTGCCATTTTGGTACAGATTGCCAAAAATTGCCAGATTCCTTTGCTGCAGTCTGCAACCAAATCTTACTGAAAAGCCTCAAGGAACAATCCAAAACATCAGGCTGTGGTGCTGCTTTGTTTCTGTTGTACTATATTAAGTCACTTGTGATCATACCAAACAGCATTTTCATGTTACATAATTCTTTTTTCTGCCCTTGTTTCTGTATTGTGGAAATATTTGAATTTTATATACTCATTTCCTATTAAGGTCTGGCTGCTCACAATTTCTGAGATTTCTTGACTTACAGGGAAACTTTTGAGCATCAGCTGTTCCTCTGTGCAGCAGGAGGGAACAAGATTGAAAAGGATGGGTTTTATTTGTCTTTTTTAAAAGAGAAAAAGGAATGCACAGAGAACACTTGAAAAAGCCATACAGAAACAATAAAAATATCCAAAATAGCATGTAAGGAAAGGACTATTTTACATGGGAAGGAGTTACATATAATGAACAGGAAGGGTTAAATAGTTTTGCAAGGCTTCTGTGGCTACAGCAGAAAGCATCTGCTCATAGCCTTTGGTTACACTCGAAGCCAGTTTTGTTTTGATCTTTACTTAAAGCGTGAGTTGCAGGATGAATATTGCCACCCGTGACATTCAGTGCCAATACTAACAACACAAATGAGTGTAACAGGTGGCACTCTGCACTGCCAAACTGCTGTCAGACATGGTAGATGCAAACCTGATTATGAGTGACTGTCAAAATGTGGAGTATGGCACCGATAATTCATGCTATGCCTAAATGGAATAATCAAAACTGAAATGTAACGTAGGAGTAACTTGTTTAATCAAACATAAGAAAACATTTATCAAACGCTTGGCTTGACATCAACTAACCTGCCAAAACGAAATTTGCTACATAGATTATCTAGAAATGTATATACATAAATTAAAATGCTCAGAGATATAGCATTTAAAGTGAACAATAATACACCATACTGATACATAAACTACCTAACACAGCGCTTTCTGAAGAGGGGAACTGGAATGTAATAGAGGTAGTCTGAAACTACCTCTGAAGTTCCCTGTTAAGTGTTACTGTTTTTTTAAATTCCTATGCAGATTCTATTTTGACCTTAAAATGTGCATATTGTATATAAACTTGAGAGTATGGGCATGATTTTCAGTGCTTTTCCTAAAGGTCTGTGGAGTTTCAAATTTAATTTTTTTTCAAATCTGCCTAATAATTATTTTGAGAGTCGTATGTCTTTTTATAGACTACTATTACTCCTGGTTTTGCTCCTGATTTTGCATGTATCATAAGGTAGTATTGACACAACTTGGAAGGGGTTGGAATGGCAACATCGGTAAGAGGGTAAGTGTTAGGCTGGATTAGGTTTATTACATGTCAGTGACAGGGTGTGAAGTGTGGTATTCTGTGTATTAGGATTTGATTTGGGAAGAGTCTATGAAAGAAGAAAAGATAGTAATGCATCTGCGTTTTGATTAATTGCTGTGTGAGTCCAAGGGCTGTAAGCCATAACAAATTAAGTGGCTTTCTGAAAAACTGAGTCTGGGCAAAAATGTGACAGAAAGATAATGGCAAGAAATCATAATACAATGTATGATATTTATTTACAGATATTTAGAGTGCCAGATATATTAATCAGAATTGTTATTCTACTCTTTGACCAATATTTTCTGGGTAGCTATTGTTACATTACTTTTTTGTAACTATAAAAACTGCCTGGCAAAAGTACAGACTGAGGATTGTGGATGTCGATAGTTCTCATTCACCTTGTACTTGTCAGCTGGTATGGGTTTATATTATTGCTTAGTGCTTTATTAATAAATAAAATGCATTTAAAGAAACATATAATAAAATTCACTTCATATATTGGGGTTTTTTAGGAATCTACCATCATGCCAGGTGACAGTCATCTTTTTCCAGATACTGACTGGCTCATAGGAAACCATTCAGATGAATTAACACCATGGATACCTGTAATTGCAGCTAGGTATGTGCAGAGGGAGGGCAGTGGGATGGGAAGGAATTTAAAAAAAAAAAAAGTAAACCAAGCAACAGAACCTAATTACCCAGGTGAAGACTGTCTCTCTCAGCCAAATCTGCTGTCCTTGCAGGACTTACTTGCTTCTTTTGATGCCAATTGGTTATTTTTACAAAATGTTTCTCTTCCTATGAAGAAGCACAGATGTAGAAGCACAGAATTCTCATAGAATTCAATACAGTATTTTGCTTTTGAAGTTCAAAAAACAGAAATGATTTTTATTCTTTAGATGTGAATCTGTTGTTTGGTGTTTGTTTGTTTGTTTCATAAAATTGCTGTTGGTTCTGTCTTTCCTTGAACCATTGTGCTCTTCACAACCAGCTGCAGTAGTTCAATGTCTAGAGATTTAGTCCTGCAAACCAAGTTGGCGCAGTAATTTGTGCTAGTAAATACTTTGTGAAGCGGTATTTTTAATTATGCTAATGGATCTACTGAAAGAGGAACATTTAAATGTTATTTCCCAAAGCTCCTCCACTTAAAAATTTCCATTAATGCTTGTATTTGGGTTATTTGTTAAATTTGTGTGTTCTCTGAAATAACTTTTCCATTCAGCAGTTTATCCTTCTTGTAGGTCATCCTATTCATGTTGCTACTTTGTGCTGCCATGTTGCTTTTTTGATTTCCATGGAAAATACAGCCGAAGACAAAGCAAGAAAACTCAGTACAGAGAATACCTCGATTTTGTTGCTCAAGTGGGATTTGTATGCGGCTTTCACGTGGAAGAAGATTGCCTTAGAATTCCATCGACAAAAAGGGTAATTTAGGACTGTGTAGGGCTTTTGTCTTTTTTTTTTTTTGAAGCTGTCTGAAGCATATGGATGTTGGTTCATTATTGTTGTTTGTTCGTTATTGTTGTTGCAAGATCGGTCCATAGTCAGTTGCGTTACTTGGGACAATATGGTCTGAAGAGAGACTAAAAATACTCATTGTTTGCTTGGGTAATCTGCTCTTAACTCCGTTGGTACAATCCTGAAGGCGAGAAAGAATGGAAAGGTTTTATGGCTATTTCTTCTGCCACCCTATAGGATGGAAAACTTATAAAACCTAATTTTGCTGTTTTTCATGTCCCGTGAAATTCAAAGTGAAATGTTCTGAGAGTAGGAAGGGGTCTCCAGCTTAGATTTTGTAAATGTTCTGAGGATCAGGATCAATCCTTTTGTCCTGTTCTTGTATGGCATGATGGATTATGGTTTGATTACTGGATTTCTTCTGTGGCACCAATATTTGAAAATTAAAATCCCCTCAGATCTAAATGGGCATTGAGTTTGAATGGATATCTTCTGAAGGTAGATTTTTGAAGCAGGCTGGGGCTGTGTGTAAGTATGAGGCTCTGTATAAATAGTGATTTACCTGTTTCTACGAATATAGGTGTGCCTTATTGGAAAAAGCAGGACCTATCCGCCTACAGACTGCGCTGTGATTGATAAGCAGATAACACAGTATATTAATAACCGTCAGACCTGTGCTGCGGTCACGTGTGACGGAAGAGTTGGCTTTAATCATAAGGAGCACTCTGGTGGGGTATGCAAAGAAACAGACTCAGAGCTTCCTGAAAATGAGACTGCTGGTACAATTTGGATGCCTGGATTTCAACCGAGAGAAAAAGTAGAACAAATCAGAAATTGTGCTTCCCTCCCTCGGGATTTTGTAGATTATGTGGTCCTCAGCGTGGCAAACTTGCTGTTAAATGCAACACCCCAAAAATCGTGTTCTAATATGCATAGTGGAGATAGGAATACCTGGAATCAAGGAGGTGAGGTGTCTTTCCTTTAACTTTTGCTTTTGCTGGTAGATGTTGTCTTTTCCAATGAATTCACATGTTTGTATATTTAGTAAGTAAAGTAGATTTTACAAAATACCAAGAACAGTATAGTAGCATTCAAAAAGTCTTTTTTCCCCACTATGTTTTATTACACACTGTGATGCAAATAAGGTGTATAAGAGTATTTTTAAATTGGTGTAGAGGGAAAAGAACCTCCACACTTAAGGGACTACTAGGACAAAATCAAATTTTATTAAAAAAAAAAAAGAGCAAATGGAAACAATCACAGAACTCCTCCCAGTTTACCAAAACAGAGCACTCTACGTCTGTTTGGGGAGAATAATATAGTTTTTTGTGGGTAGTCACGTAATACTTAGCTATAATTCTGTAAGTAGCTATAATTCTGTAAGAAGCACTATGAAGTGCCATTTGGTTACAATATGATTAGGAATTTTTACTTTGCTCTCAGGAAGAAAAAGAGGAGAAGTTGCTATTAACTTTATACGCAGTTAATTCTCACTACTACCATCTGCCCATTTTCCTGTGTCCATTTTTATTACTTAGTTACTGTTGTTTGTCATATGTTAATGTTACAGGAGATCCTTTGATTCATTCTTGCTTCTAACTACAAGCATTTAAACAGTGCTTATTGCAGTGAGAGTTTTATGCTGCTGTAAAAAGAGCAAGGAAAATAAAAAACGTGTCCTACTGTGGAAATTCTGACTCGAGTCCTGTAGAACGAAAGCTGCTGTTTTGTAGAAAATATACACATAAAACATCTATTATGTGTGATATTAGGAGTACAGAGCTGCTGCAGTACTGGTAGATAATTCATAGATCCTGCTTATAATCACTAATTTATATAAAAGTTAAATTTTCTTAGTATTTATATACATACACATTTTCTATAGCTACACCATTATTTATTGCAGAAAGCCTTTCCTTGAAGGAAGTAGCAGAACACTTAAATAAAGAGACTTTAAAAAGGCTAAAGAGTGAATATGGAGGCCTGCAGACACTACTCAAGAACAATCATCAAGTATTTGAAGGTAAAGAAAGGGTTTGGGTTTTTTGTTTTGTTTATCTTTAATCATCTCTTTTATCTTCTCTGTATGAAGTTAACTGAAAAAATTATTGTGGTGTTTCATTTGTTTTTTAACTGCTTTCTATACCTTTGTGGAAAACTGAATATTATGTGCCCATTGTTCCAAGGTACTGTTAGTAAAACTTGTTTGAGTGAGATTGGTAAGGCTGCTATCAGCAAAGAATTGTTCTAGACTGACCATATCTGAAAAGGTAACCCTTTAGATAAAGTGATTAATTTAACGCTATTGTTTGACTTGGAGAATTTTTGTCTTTCCTGTGAAGTATTGATGATTTTGAGCCATCAAATACAGAGCAAGTTCACTAAAGCATTTAACTGAGACTTACTCTGGCCTTACCAAGCCCCACAATGTAAATGCCAACATGAAATAAAAGTGGTCTCCATAAGAACCTATAGCTGTGAGGTCTGATCTGTTTATAGAACCTGTGGTAGCATGGCAGAAAGAACTTATTAAGTTTCTGTGGTTGGCTGGGTTTGTTGATAGCTGGTGTTGGTTGTTTTTCCTGTTGTGATGTGGTGGTGGTGTGCTTTGTTTGGTTGTTTTGGGTTTGCTTGTTTGTTTTTTTTTCTCAGTGTGGAGTTTTGCAAAAGCAAGGTTTACCTTTGCAGTAATACAAGATCTTTAAAGTTTTAGCAGTACTTAAAGGTGCTTCAAATTTAGAAGTCTATTAAAGTCTTATGCCCCAACAATTCTACATCAGCTGTAAAATGTTGATCAACTAATCCATGACAAATCATCTAGAGTATGCAGCTTAGTTGCTGCCAGTGTTTAACTTAGCCAGGTTTTGCATCCAGTAAGTATTTCTGTACTCTTGGCAATTACAAGTTACTGAAATCCTTTTGAAATGCCATCCATTGAAAAGGGCGGGTCACACTGCATTCATTATGTGTCTGAATTTTATTCCCTATTAGTAGGGATTAGGTGGAGTAGATTTACAGCCTGTTACATGGAATAAGCATTATAATTTGGCATGGATGCTGTCTGCACATTACCTCTGAAGAAAGACCAGGATTAACATCAATCTTTCTCAGTAATTTACATCACATGGAAACTCCCTGGGGATTCAGCACAGACCATTTGATTCTTTCCTTCAGTAGTATGTCATTGTAACAAGGGACTTTTACCAGTAGGTAGTCTGGAAGGATATTGCCTGTGCCAAAGAGGATGGAGAATAACATGACTACAGCTCTTTTGTCATCTTTACTCAAGTATTCTTCTTGTGAAGACGTGGAAAACAGGTGGATGCACACACACGTGAAAAAGAAGGGGCTTAGAGTAACTGATCAGTTGCAGTATCTTTTTATCAGGCATGTTGTCCAATGCCATACTGATTTTCTAGAAGAAAGTATGCTTGATCATAAATAGCAATATATCTGCTCATTTTTCTTCATCTTTTGAGAGAGATTTTAAAGCTCAGCTGATCCCATTTCTGGATTGGCTTTGTGTGAGCTCAGATCTATTTGTGTATCACAAGACAACCTGGAGGGATAAATTCATCCAGGCCTAAATGCGTGATACGAAGCTCTCACTGGACTCATTACCTTTTGAATAGTGATCGTCAGGGTGCAGAATGGTATCAGTTAGCTCTGCCAAGCTACAAGGGTGTGATACAGAAGGTATGATGGACGTAGAATATGAAAATAGAGCATGACAACTTAGAGGTGGCAGATTCTTCCCTCCTAATTTTCACTGCTGTTTTTCATCTAAGTTCTTTCTTTCTCTCTTACTAACTTCCTTTTTTTCCTCTTTTGTTTACACATTTAAGGGGTTGACAGAGGTTCACAAATGTGTGTGTGCAGCTTATGATCCTAATGCAGCAAATGAATTTGAAAAAAAAAAATAAAGTGCTGAATATTAACCAACAATAGTTCACTGTTGATTCATATGAAGGATTAGACTTGGCATCGCTCTGGTGCAGTGTATTTTTGGGTCAGTGAACCATTGTCTTTGCAAGAGCATTTCTGTGTAGTGAAAGTAGAAGACACTAGATTTTTGCTGGTAATCGCCTTTTTAGTGTGGAGTAATAAAGTTTTGAATATGGGAAGGATTTCTTGAAATTGAAACTTCTTTGTCAGGACTTGAAATCTAAATTCAGAGGATTTTAGTCTAAATTATCTTAACCGCTGTAAACAGACAAACCTCTACAAAGATGATGCAAAGGTGCCTCAAACTATTCAGCATCACATAAAACATCTCACAGGGACATCAATCAGTTCTTTAGACAGTGTCTGTATTATCTCGGTTTGTTGTGCACTTCTTTCTATTCCTCTACAAATGGCACATTTGGTTTTGCCTGAGTGATCCGTTTGTAGAATATGTATTTTATTCACAGTCTGTCACTATTCATTTCTTCCAGTACAATTCCCATGGCTGTCTATTAACAGCTGCATTTGTGTTTGTTTTTAAATCTTAGTTCTAAATGGGAGAGTTCATATTCGTGACTGGAGAAAAGAGAAACCATCAAGGAAAAATAAGCCTGATGTGAAACGACGCCTTTCAGCTGAAGCATTTAAAACACGTCTCTGCTGGTTTTTCATTCATCATCCTGATGGTTGTTCTTTGCCTTCTGAATCTTGCCCATATGCTCATGGGACTGAGGAGCTAAGGCAGTCTCAGATTATTAAAAAGAAAAAACATATACAGTAATAAAACGCTGCTACTTACGTTTAAGCTTGTGTACATGGCTGAATCTGTGACGGTCTTCAGGACTGCCTAGTGCATGAAGATCTGTACAATATGGAGGGGTTTACCCTATGCCAGTGCATCTTACTTTCCAGTTGGTTTACAAGTTCTCCTGTATTTTTAATTCTTTACCTTTTTGTTAACATGGAAAAGGTACAGTAAAGTACATATATACTTTTGGATTTTGTCATGGCTTGTCTAACATGGATTTGTTTAAGTAGAAAAGTTTAAAAACTTAATTTCCTAGGACACTCTTTGTGATCCTCAATCAGATCAAATGTACATGATGCAGCATTTTCAAACCCTAAAAATTAGCTGGTTTGTTCCAAATTTTCCAGGAAGATCTATGGTTTCTTATAACTCACAGTGACTTTTGGGAGTCAGGAATTGGAGAGATTTTGCTCTTTCCTGTCCAGGCAGCTTCCCCTCCATGTTACTGTGGAGTAATACTACATATTACCCTTCCTTTCTTGGTCCGACTTAGTCCTTTCCTTTCTTCCTTTTCATTCTGATTCAGAATGAGTGTTGGTATGAAGAATACCTTTCCGTGAAATTATTGTGGAAATCTTCACATGTAGCTGCAGGTTTTTAGGGCTCTGTAGGCCATGCTGTCCTTTCCCTCTTTGTTTTAAAGTAAGGAGTAACAGTAGAAAATTTGTTTAATGATATTGGAAAGGTAGGGTTTCTGCTTATCAGTTACCAAAGAAATGTCTTAGTATCTTGAGCAGGTGATGATTTTCTTTGGCAGACTATTATTTTCTTTAAAAGGTTTAACTTGGCAGAAATCCTAATTATTACTCAGTGACAGTCATTGAATTAGTGTCATAATTCATATCTGTCATCTGCAAAGTACTTGTAAAGTTCAGTATCTGCTGTACGAGCCCTGAGACAAGGAATTGTGTTGGTTCTTGCCTAGCTTTTGTATACTGATAGTGTGGAAACTGCTGTGATTTACTGAGCCAAGACTTTGATTCAAGATCCTACTGAAGAAAGGGCAAAGTTTAAAAAAAAAAAAAAAAAAAAGTTACTAAGGAAGAATTGTGGAGGTGGGAGTAATGGCATAGAAACTGTGATTGCAGGACAGAGTTCTTGGGGTAAGAGTGAATAAGCCACGTGAGAACTCTGTAAGAGCTCAGGGCATCTGAAGAAGGAAGGAAGGAAGTGAAGACAAAGCAGGAAAAATAATAGTGGAAACACTTTTCAAAACAGTTCCAAAGCCACTTGCCTCACACCCAACTTTAAGCCAACAGGCTGCAGACCAACATGTGAAGAAGCAGCAGGGTCTAAATCTACCGACAGGGTAGAAGCAAAGAAGCATTGTTTCCCCTTCTCCCTTTACATATCTCTTCTGATCCTTGAAGAAGTGCCTTTTGCTAGACAACAGTGACCATGATAATTGCAGCAGCATCTTACTCATGGATCATATACTATGTTATCCACTATGCCACATAGTACAGCTGCCTGGCCAACCTCTTAACGGGGAGCCAGGTGGGTTCTGAGCCTTTCCCTGTGGCTCTGATCTGCAGCGTTGTATACCATATCCTTGATTTAGCACTAATCAGTGCTGTGTTCCAGCTTTAAGACTACTTTATTTGATTATCTGTGCAATGCTGTGATACCGAGCATAGCATACTGCATGTAGCACTGCCTCCTGTGCAAAGACTTTGTTTCTGAACTCGTAGCATGCAGCTCTGTCACGGATGCACGATGGCTGTTCCCCTTCCTGTTTGGTATCACTGCGGGTGGCAATTCAGCCAGCAAGTCTCGTGTAATTACAGAAACTTCCCTGTTGTTTGGAGAAGTGATAAGAGAACATTTTTGCATCCAAATGCCAGCCTTATATAATTCTGCATGTAAATGTGAAGTTAACTGCTGAAGGCACAGAATAGCTCTACTTTATCTAAATTCTGTGTCTTGTTGCTTTCTCTGTGATGCACAGTTATAAAATGGCATTAATACAATATTCAGCTTTAGCAATAGATGAAATACTATACAGAGTAAGAATCTGTTATAAAAGCTCTTGCTCCACAAGGGATTCAAGCGTAAAGTCTCAGTTGAACAACTATTACTTTATTTCTTAGTTTATGAACATCACTTCCCATTAGTTAATTTGCTTTATTTGAAGTCTATTTATAGAGGGGAAAATACTTGCTGTTGTAGATGTCTCGCAAGAGTGAGAATATAAAGAGGTTAGATGCCAGACTGCAATCAGAAATGCTGGGATCTAGAGATTTTGTATCTCCATCTGTAGATAAGCTACAGTTTCATTAAGTCTCAGGGAGGACCCCACGCTGGAGCAGGGGGACCCCGGGAGGAGTCTGTGACCCCATGGGCACCCTGTGCTGGAGCATGCTCCTGGCAGGAGCTGTCGCCCTGTGGAGCACGGAGCCCAGGTTTGCTGGCAGGACTTGGGACACCAGGGGGACCCAGGCTGGAGCAGGCTGCTCCTGAAGGATGGCACCCTGTGGGAGGGGTTCATGCTGGAGCAGTTCGTGAAGAACTGTAGCCTGTGGGAAGGACTCATGTTGGAGGAGTTGGTGGAGGACTGTCTACTGTAGGAGGGACCCCACGCAGGAGCAGAGTGTGAGGATCCTCCCCGGAGGAGGAAGGAGCAGCAGAGACAAAGTGTGATGGACTGACCACAACCCCCATTCCCTGGGGGACAAGGTAGAGAAATGGGGAGCAAAGGTGAGCCTGGGAAGAAGGGAGGGGTGGGGGGAAGGGTTAGTTTTTGTTTATCATTATTTTACTGTGCTTTGATTGGTAATAAATTAAACTAATTTTCCCAAGTCAAGTCTGCTTTTCCCATGACAGTAACTGGTGAGTGATCTCTCCATGTCCTTATCTAAACTCCCTTTTGTTCCATTTTTTTCTCCCCTGCCTGGCTGAGGAGGGGAGAGATGGAACAGCTTTGGTGGGCACCTGCCCTCCAACCAGGGTCAGCCCATCACAAGTCTATAGAAATATTCAAAATTAAATAAGAACAAAAAATTTCCATGTTTACATTCTACATTAAATATCAGTAAATGACTGAATTGTAGTTTTCCATTAGATCACTAAAACTGAAAAAAAATCACAAGACAGTATTTTTACTTATGGAATTTTTATATATAGCTTCAGAACAGCCCATTTCCTGGCAGATTTCAAAAGAAAATTTTCTGTGTATGTATCTTTTGTACTGTCTGTTTACAATATTACTGCCACTACTTCATGTAGTAAATTATTAGCCCAGATTCAGAGCAATTCCTAGAGGAAGGCTTACAGCTTGTCTGACAGCAAATACAGGCCTCTAGGTATGCTTTGTAATAAAATTAGGCTGCTGCTTATGTGTTTTGGGGCTTGTTTGCTTAGATTCAAAGTAATAAACTCTTCATCTTCAGTGATCTTAAGAGCATTGTTTTATGAGCTGGAATCTAGCTTTATCTGGCTGTATAAAGTAGACAAGAGTGAGAAATCAGTGCTTAGGTCACCATAATGACAAAAACTTCAGAATCAACAGAGATGGAAACTAAAATCTGTCACCATCCTACCAAGTGGCAGCTAAAACAAATATTGGGACAGGTATCTACTAAATTGTCTAATTATTTGGTGTGGCTGAAGTAAGACATTATGTTTTGTTATTGCTGGTAACTTCTGTTTATAAAGAGTATTTTCACACAAAAATTGCAGTTGATTGGGAATTCACCCAGAGTAATGCTGTCACGTTACTACACGGAATACCTTTCACAGTCACCTTTTCTGCTGTTGCATCCAGCTGGACCTGTGAGTAGCATCTTCAGATTTTCCTTTGGGGTGCTGGTGCATTTCCTGTTGCAGAAGCCCCTTGCAGCAGCACTGTACACATGTGGCAATGGTTTCATGACTGGGCTTTGGGTGTTGTAATTGTTAGTGAACACTGTCATTTGGACCTGCTGAGTTTGTGTTTCATTTGTATTCGAACGTAACGTTCGTATTTATCAGGTAGAAGTGCGTAACTGCCTTAGCGCTCATCTAAGGCTTTTAAGCCCCTTGTAACCAGGTGCTACTACGGTACTGCCAGATGAAATCTGCTTGGCAATTGCAACCCAGCTCCACTCTTCACAGTTTTATTGTAACAGATTTCAGCGGCTCCAAATAGGCGAGTGTAGCTTCGGATTCCTTTTTTTTTTTTTTCGCAGGAGCATCATGGTAAATTTTTGTTCAGAGATCAGTGGATTCATCTGTATTAGCTTCTCGGTGAGCCACCCTGTGCTTCGCACAAAGCTGTGTAAGGGTTCAGCAAATCCAGCCCTTCCCAGGTATGTGGTGCTGTGCGTTGGCTGCTGAAATGTACCTGCCACGGTTTGAAAACGCCGTCGTTCAGGCTGTCAGCCTTGCTGACAGCTAGCCAGACACTGTAGCAAAATCAAAACAGCCTTCTCTCAAAAAGCCTGCCCTGAATTTTGAATACTCTGGTGATTGCTTCCCTGTAGTAGCAATAAGAAAACTGTCCTCACTGCTAATTGATATTATGAGTGTGGTGTCCACAGAGATACAACAGCTGTGAAGTCTTTTTGCATCCGTTTGCAGGCTTTGTGTTAGTAGTTTTTAATCCAGTGAATAAACATGGAACTGAGAGAGGAAAGGAAAATTGTTTGCCCTTTTCTCAGGTACAAAATACTGAGAGAGCAGAGAGTTTTCAAGTTGCCTGTCTTTTGCCAGTACATCGTGCTTTTTTTGTTTTGTTTGCATGTGTAGCCTTCCTAGGGACAATTCTTTTACTCCGCAGCTCCGTAGTGTCTTCACTGGCCGTTGGTGCACCATGAGGAAAGCCATCCAGCACGGGCATTGATATCCTTATCTCTGTTACACTGTGGGACAGTAAAGACATAATAATTTTGGTTGTTTGTTGTTTTGGTGAATTTTTTTTTTGTGTTTTATTTAATGTTTGTTTTGTCAGATTGTTTCAGAGACTTTAAATCCCATAGCAAATGCACTGTTAGCAATGATCTGATAATGCTGTGAAGACAAATCTTGACCCTTTCCATTGAGTTTAGCCCAGCAGTTTTATTCTTTCCTGTATTTGGAATCTGAACAGATAGGAAATGCTTTCAAGTGAGGGTAGTTGTCTGTTTTTTGAAAAGCTTTAATGATCTGGTATTTTTGCCCTTTCTTTAGTGTTATTGTACTGCGATTTCTTATGATAGATGCTGATATCACTTTT